ATACGCTATTCATTGGCTTCTATCCAAAAATGGTAACAGTTGCTGCCTATAGTGATGCCTCAAGCTTGCATTATGTGCATAACAGTGATCATTTCGTCGTTAAATTGTCTCACAGCAATATCTGACCAAATGCCCAAAATCTGTTTGCCACTAGAAGAACTTTTAGATGTAATCGCTAGTTGCGTTGAAACATTCATTACTGTTCTGAGTAAATCCACCCAAACAGCGACTTAATAATTCAATTTTGCTTCAATTTTGAGATCATTATATAGACGTTTAAGCTCTTCGAAAATTACCAGTGGCATCGGTGATATTCCGAAAATTGGTTTTTGATTTCGCTGTCAACTACAGATCTACGCCACGAGTAGGCACCGCTCGGACACTTTTCATGTTGCCCATATTGCCTCTCTCATTTTTTCGGTTTAATCGGAGTTTCTTCTAATTGTTGGCCCGTAATAAATTGTCAATTTATCGATTAATTTTCCAGTAACTTTTCTCTTTGCCCATGCGTTTTTGTACATGATCAATGTATTTCTTTTTCACAATATTCAATAACATTCCCTTTTTTTCAACCAATTGGTGAAACTATCCATGACCCGGAATCATCTCCGGAAAGAGTTTCACATTCGGCATCGCTCAATCCTTTTTCTTCTTGCATTACTAGTCTAATGGATATGATTCATTAACAAATAAGACCAATGTTTATGTTTCACCCAAAACATGCCTGCATATAGACTTCCACAAAGAAAGAGAGAACTGCATCATACGGAAAAAAATACAATCATACAAACGTAAACACAATCATCCAATGCTATAGCTATCGCAATCGTATGTGTGCGTAAGACGCAATTAAAAAAAAAACAAAAATACAATTGATATCTGTATAAAATCTGTCGGAGGCGTTTTTTAAGGCCTTAAAGAGTATTTTAAAAACAAAAAATAGTGGTATTATTCCTTAATCTCTTTTCTGTTCTTCTGAGCAGCTTTATCAAATATTTTTAAACTGATGTAAAAGGTAATTGTAATAAAATAAAAACTTCTTACTTGCTTGTATTATTTTATATGGTACTAGTTTCGGGCAATGAACCTGCCAATCTTCAGCCAAAGCTATACAATAATACATCGAAATTAACGATCAAGCAAAAACAGACCACAAATTGCTGTTGGAGAATGCCAAAGTGATGTTATTCTTTTCAAAAATATGTTTAGAATTGTATGTGATATTATTGAAATGTATAGGTTTGTAAATCCGTGGTTCTTCCTCTATTTTTACATATAACGGGTCTGTTTTATATTTAATTTTCATTTGATTTTTGTCAACACATGTTTATTTAAAAAATAAGAAATCTCAGAGACGATGAAAAATATATTTAATTTTTATTTTCGGTGCTGGTAGCACCGGTAGCACCGAAAATAAAAATTAAATATATTTTTCATCGTCTCTGAGATTTCTTATTTTTTAAATAATTTTACGATGAACCTGGAAATAACATTAACTAAATTACATATTAAAATAAAATAAAGAATTGCACTTTTTGTAATGGATAGTTTATTATATTTTCGTTCTACCGGTTTCGACTCAACTTAGAGTCATCTTCAGGAACACGTCACAATTTGAACTAAAACCATGGTATTATTATTGAACATTTGTTCGTGATTAAAAAACAGTAAGGAAATCAAAAAACTTAATACGTTCCGGACAACCATCTTATCAGCCAATTCATCGTTCATCACATCCGCCCATAATTACGCAATTATTAAGTTTTTTGATTTCCTTACTGTTTTTTAATCACGAACAAATGTTCAATAATAATACCATGGTTTTAGTTCAAATTGTGACGTGTTCCTGAAGACGACTCTAAGTTGAGTCGAAACCGGTAGAACGAAAATATAATAAACTATCCATTACAAAAAGTGCAATTCTTTATTTTATTTTAATACGAATAATGGAAACAAATAATAATTACACCAAAATAAATTACATATGTTTATGACTTTGAGCAACACATTCTTACATTTAGTTTATTGTTGACAGTAAGTGTTTTGTTTTATTTTGTTTCATTTATTCAATTCTAGTCTGTTTTTGCTTAATCGCTAATTTAAATGTATTATTGTATAGATTTGGCCGTAGATGGGCAGGTTCATTGCCCGAAACTAGTACCATATAAAATAATATAAGCAAGTAAGAAGTTTTTTATTACAATTACCTTTTACATTGATTGAAAGCTTGCAACATGGATACATTTACTAAAATTTAAAGTGATGGCATACAAATATGGTGTGCCAAGAATATTAATTCAATCGCAAAATCAATATTTAATGTCATAGGCTTAAAATATATACATAAATAAAATAAATATATGATATAATTAAATATATACATTATACAGGTATGAAAGGTATAAAATATTTCAGCCATTTTTCATAGATTTTCCACCTCCCACGCCATTATTTCCTAAGGTTTTGGCGAACTTCAACTTGATAGAGCCTACTCGACAACAGTTGACACTGTCCGATATGTTAATATTACTCTCATGGCCAACTGCTTAGAACTTTGTAGAATTTGTGTCAATATCTTGAAATTGACTTGCAACCATCATGATCATATGAGGTGGGGGATTTCTCAATTTCAATTGGCCATCAAATCAATACCCCGTTCAATATGTAACCTCAAAATGCTATCATAGAAGACATTCCATAGCATTCGACCCAAACAAAGATTTCGCCGCTGGGGACATTAATTTTGCGATCTAATAAATATGTCTGCAGCGTTTACAAAACGTAATTCTTGGCTCCCTCTTCCCTCAGCATATTTACGATCTTTACCCAACTATGTCCACTACGAAATGATTATGAACTTTACACTTGCAGAGATTATTTAATTTATATCGGAACCGGCTTCGAAGTTTATAACTTCATCTTCAGCCGAAAACTATACAAAAAATATAAAAAATATTATAATTAAATTACGTATTAAAATATAAAAAATACAAAATACTCACTGTCAGAAAGTGAAGCCAACAGGTATAAACATATGAAAATTTGAAATGTTGAAATGTTGAAAATTTTAAATCATTAAATTACAGCCAGAATATAAAATATGCGTCGTTAAATTTAAAAAATCAAAATGGAGGAGATATTAAAAATACGACGTGGTGCGTTATAACAATATTACAATGAAATCTAGTAAGTAATATAATTAGAGTGATGGTTGAATATAAAATTTCTTTCTATAAAACAGTTTGGGAGGGCTATCAGAAAGAGAAAGATTATGTATGATGGGTTGGTGAGGAGTGCAATGATGTACGGGCGGAGGTTTGGGGATGGAAGAGGCAGGATATTCTGGAGGACGTGCAAAATCGATACGGGAGATGGATTCTGGGTCTGATATTGTAAGGAAGGAAGTCAAGGTTGGTGAAATGAGGGAGGAGGCGGGCAGAAGAACAGTTAAATATGAAGAAATGATAGATAGCAGACCATACTGCGGGATCTTAGGGGAGTGTTGGGAAAAAGTCAGGGAACGGAAGATGAGATATAGTAAAGGAGAGAGGATGGAATATTACAAAAGGACGTGTTATTCGGAGGCAGAGATAAATAATAGAAGAAGGGTGAAAAGAGGGTGGAGTTATGGGGGAGTAGGGACGACAGGGATAGGGACGTCCACAGATAGGAGTGAAGAACGCAGATAAGAGAGGGAAGGTACAATGAACGATATGGGGACATAATGACGAAAGGGCTTTCAAAATACTTGGTGAAGGAGGAGAGTGAGGAAGGGAAAACGTTGATGGCAAAATTTTGGTGTGGTAATGAGGAGAGAGCGAATAAGTACTGGGCGGACGATGTGGAGAGGTGGTGTCGGCTGTGCGGAAAGGATTGGGAGACGCTAGAACATATGTTGAGAGGATGCAAGATAAGAAGAAAGGAACCGGTGGCAGATACTAGAAGAGGGGGGAGAAGGCATGTGATGGATGAGGGAAGTTAAGTTTTTTAGATCATATATTGTACAGAAAATTGTAAACTTTTAGTTAACAACAAAAACTCTTATTAATAATATAAACTTATAAACTTTTATCATCAATTTTACATTTATCATTTTGCTCTATCTTCATCTTTATGTGCCGTCTCTTTTAAGAAGGTTGGCTGTTGGCTGTTATACCACTGTCTTAGGTTAGTCATACAGATTTCATCCAGTTTGTAAATGTGAGTATTTCTCCCCCGTGTCGCGTAGCCTAGATACCGCAGTTTTCTAATTTTAATTGTGTTAACAATATCTCTTCCTTTCTCGAATTTTCCTAATACCTCCGCGTTTGTTGTTCTGCTCGCCCAGCTTATTCTCAGGATTCTTCTATAAGTCCATACCTCAAAGGCTTGAAGCTAGTTGATATTATTCTTGTTAACTATCCACGCTTCCATACCATATAAAAGCACTAGAAATACATTTGTATCAGTATTTTAGCATTCTAATCTAGAGATGTCGGCTAAAGTCGTTGCTGCATAATACGTTCCTAATTTTGTTGAATACAGTTCTAGCCAGTCCAATTCTTGATCTTATTTCCTCCGTATATTCACTGTTGACATTCACAATTGCTCCCAAGTACTTTCCGACCCTCTCCATTAGCTCTCCTTTAATCCACAGTTGTTCTTGTTGTTATGTTTATGTTGATAATCATAAATATGCTGTTCTTAGTATTCAGTCACTCCATAAATATTGGAATATATATCATTTCGGAATAATATCTTATTCAATTCATTAATAACATTAGTAATATGTGTGGAGACACATTCTGAAACATTAATTGTTTCTAAATTCTTGTACTCTAAAAATATTGGCTTTATGATTTGAAATTATAACATTATAATTAATTGTTGTAACTCTGAAAATCCGATAGAATAAAATTTCACAATACAACTATTTTTTTTGAATAAATAAGTAGACTTAAAAAGTATTTTGTTGTTACATTACATTTTCACCATCTTGTATATTGCACAATTTCTTTTAGAATCAACGTTTGTTGTTAATACCATGGATTTTCGTAATTATTGGATTTCTTATTGTCGATCTGGTCCATTGTTTCTATATGATCGTCGTCAACGCGGTAATTTTTCACATATATTCCAAATCACATCTTCAAATTATTTCTATTTCCAGATTAACGTAAATCCAGCAACAGCAATGTTAGTAACAATAGATTTCTTTCTAAACTCTCTAAATGTATATGCCTTATTATGTGTAATATCACAATACCAAGAACTGAAAGGTGGAAGAGGAAGAGCTGAAGATCATGCAAATAGAGTAATTTTCTAATAATTTTTAAGATTTAATGGTGATTTTCTAACCCAACGCATTTTTTGTTTAGATTCCCAGTATACATTATAGTTCACAACCAACAGCAACAACTTATTTGAGTACAAAAAAAGCGATGACATACACAGAAGCTCGTCCATCACCAACTCAAAGCCCAACAGGAACGGGACCACATACATCATTAGGAACAGAAGAACCTTCACCTCACATACTCAATAGAGGTCCAAGAAAATCCGTGAAATTTCCTGATAGTCCAACGTATAATGGAGTGCAAGACGACTGGTCAATGATGATGATAAATGCTTCGCTAAATCATCACATAACGTTCTGAAAGGATATAAATCAAAAAAAATATAGTAAAAAGAGGTTGGACTCGATGTAATGAATCGATTGAATCCATGAAAAGTTAAAAATTGGAAGTTTATATTTAATAGTGTTTTGTTGTAAAGTGTACTCAATAAATTAATAAAAATGCAATAATTATTAATGAAAATGTAAGATTTATGAGTATGTTAATTTTAGTTAACATGTGCATAAAAGAATGTGATATTTATACCATAAAATTTTGTATACGGAAACTATATCATTATGACACAATTAAATTTACATTATTGTACAATGAATTTACAATTTTTATTAAAATAACAGCTATACTTATATAAGATGATTCAAAAACATGTAAGTTTTAATATTTCAAAACACAAATTTTATTTTTTACTTTTCTTAGAATCCTCTAAAAAGATTATTATACAAAGAGTTTTATATTTTGATAAGTTTAAAACAGCTTTTTTGAATAATCTTGTATTCAGTTATTTTTTTTTGTAAAGCTATACTTAGTTCCGTGGGAAAGTAAAGAACAAACGTTTATAAGGCTGTTAACAATTACAGGAGTATAAAGCAAACGATGGAAACAACAAAATATAAAACAATTATAACAGTATTGTAGATAAATTTGTACATTGTAAAATATATTTACTGTTTGTAAAATACAGATGTTTATCATGGATTTTTCTTTCAATCCATTCCAAATGGGGGTATAAAAAGTCAATAAGCTTGTTTAAAACTTGTTAAGAAAATATATACAAGGGTATGCTTATCTTTGATTCCAATTTGGTTGCAAAAGTTGAATCGAATAACAGTCGACGCTCACTTAACGTAAACAATGCGTTCCTGAATTGCTTAAACGAATAGAAAATGTCCATGAGAACACAATTTTTAATTGGTCCAAGATAATCCTTGGTGTGTATGTACCATCGGCGCTCGACTATTTAAAAATTTCAGTTAAAAAAAATGAGTAAAAAAGGAAGTCCGATTTGAATGTTTTTCACTGTGATAAATAAACAAAATTCTGAAGCATCATACGACATATGTAAAAATGTTCTTACTTTTAAAGCGTCTATAACTAATTTAAAAAAACATATGTCCAGAAAGCATCCAACAATTTCTGTGCTAATAATACTAGCTTATCTTAAGAAAACAATAGTAACGAAATTCAACCAGAAAAGATAATAGATGAAGCTCACTCGGTATATTCCGAATTAGGACAGGTAAAGTTTATTTATTTTTTTTAGCTTATATTGGCTTTTGTTTGCTTTTGCTATAAACATTTTCATTAATGTTTTAGAATAAATCACAAGAACATTCCCAAGCAGCTGTCACTACTAAAACTATTATACCGCGACTATCAACCATTTAGAATCGTACAGGATAAAGGTTTTAAAGAATTTGTAAGCATATTAAATCCTTCCTACGAATCACCAAGCAGGCAGCTAATTTCTAACATTTTAATTGCGCCAGAATATGAGAAATGCATGACAGCAGTAAAGGAAATAGTGGGAGAAATTAGCACTTGTGGTCTGACAACATACTGCTGGACATCATACAATAATGAGTTTTATAGGCGTTACAATTCATTTTATTAACAACGCATTTGAATTGAAGTCGATTTTGTTGACATGCCCAAGGATGCAAAATCAGCATAGTGCCGAAAATTTGGCACATAATCTTATTGTTAGACAAATTATAACAAAATGGCAGCTGGATAATAAAATAGTGTTAGCCGTTTCGGACAATGCATTTAATATTAAAAAAGCTATTAATAATATTGGTTGGAAACACTTTGGCTGTTTTGCACATACGTTAAATCTAATAGTTAAAGATGCCCTTAATCTTGAAAGCGTTAAGCGATTGACAACGTAAAAGCAATTGTGAGACATTTCAAGAAAAATTGCGATGCAAAAACTCGTAACTTTTTAAAGAAACGCCGAAATGGATATTCCACAGAAAGTATTGCCATCTTCTACATATTGGAGCGTTTTGTGGAAATGAAGGATTACATTAAACTAACAGTGGCTCTCCTTGGTGTCAATCTACCCCGCATATCTGGGAATGATTGAAAGACATTGAAAGAAATAACAAAATTTTAAAACCCTTTGAATCCGTCACTAAAGCTGTAGAAGGCGAAAAATATAAACTGATAAAATAATTATTCGGGAAACGATCTTTTTATAACAAGAAACTACTTTATTTTATACTAATATTTCAATCGGTTTATTTCGATCTTCCTCAGATTATAAAAATTGTGTTTCTTAAGAAAATAACATAATGAAACCATAAAATGTTTATAACAAAATAATTGGAGATGTAAACATTTTAAAAACACAATACAATACACATCAAAAATTAAAACTTCAAGTTGAAAAATAAAACGTGAAATGTGAAAATCAACATATTCTGGTAGATATGTAAATTTTATATAACAAAATATATGCACTACCTAAACAACGAACAGTAAATAAATGTAAATTTGTGGGTGACAAGGAAAACGGCGAGATGGTCACATCAATTCAGTAAAATCACTGGTTAGACATTTATCCACACTGTAAAAGGCCTTATCAAGTAAATACCTTTTTAATACTACTTTAAATGTCAGTGCTTCTAAATTTCTCACTCGTTCTAGTAAAGCGTTATATAATTTTAAACTGTAAAAATTTGCGCCATATTTAGCCCTTGTCGTTCGAGTAAAATCTGAAACAAGGTCCTTTATTCCTTTATTATTACCTTTATTCCGAATATTATAAGAATGATAATCCCGATTTTTGCTGTAACCATTTAAGTTATTCTTTATAAACAGTAAACAATTGAAAATGTACACACAAGGAAAAGTCAGAATTCCAAATTCAATAAACTTTGCCCTGCAACACTCCGAGAAACCCATGCCTGCCAGAACTCTCACATATCTTCGCTGAGTACGGAAGACAAGCGAAACGTTAGCAGAATATCCCCAACACAAAATGCCGTACGTCATATGAAAATAAAAATGTGCAGAATAGGCAGCAAGTGCCATCTTCGACGATACCACTCTCATAAGGTACGAATCAAATAAATACTGATATTTAACCTTCTAATCAAATGAAGAACATGCTCCTCCCATGTAAGTTTGGCATCAAGGTGAATTCCGAGATATTTTACTGAGAACTATTGTCATTTAAAGTTTGCGGCCTCAATGAGAAAATTAGGGGCTGTGTTTTGTATTCATTCACACTAAGACGATTCTCAGAAAACCAGTTAAAAATATTTTTTTGGGATTCATCAACTACTTGCTCTAGATCACACAGGTTATCAGATTTCTGCAATCCACTAGTGTTATCGGCAAAAAGAATAATTTCGTTGTTACTATTACTAAGGGTTAACAGATCGTTTATGAATATTATGAATAATATATGGCCCAGAACCGATCCCTGTGGGACTCCGTACTTAATAGGCAAACTACCAGATGACTGATATTGAACGCGATCTTCCAGATGGGATTTTATTAAACTCACACTATTATTATCAAACTGAAGCAGACAGAGCTTACGCAGAAGAAGGTCGTGGGAGACGCAGTCAAATGCCTTTGTCAGGTCGTAAATGGACACTTGGGCATATAACCTATCATCAAAGCAACGCAACACAAATTCCATAAGTTTACTGACAGCAGCAGACGTCGATTTACCTCTAATAAACCCAAATTCGGCACAGTGCAATAAACTGTGAAAATGGGTATAATAGAAATGGGCCTATAGTTCGCAACATCGTCAGTAGGGCCTTTTTTATGCACAGGCACAATTCTCGCGACCTTGAGACAGAAAGGACTGATTAATCAACTTACATAGAGGAACATTTACAAGATCAACAACCAATGCAGCGTTCAATGAATAGGCATCTTTACTCGATGAATTTTTTAAAAACTGGTTAAAACTCACTTCCGCAAACCTAAATTTAACCCTGGCGGCATCCTCAGGTTGATTGTCATAGCTGAGTGTTTTAGCATCTCTCACATTAATCGAGTTGGGTGAAATAATACTCTCAGCAACGTTGCTAAAAAAACCTGTTGAAATCATCTGCATTAACATTTTCATCGATGGGAGATTTATTTCGAGTGTTAGACATTTTTCTTTTAACTGGAAAACTAGCATTTAAGCAGCTATGATTTCTTGTATAAACATGGAAAACTTGTCACTAATCTCCATTACAACGCAATCTACAAATTCAAAGTTTATTTTTGCAACATTATTATAGAAAGTAAATAGACCAAGCTTTGTAACAGGTCTATAGGTTGTTATTTTTTTTGCAATTGAGGGCTTTACCGGATCTATACATTTAAAATAAATAGCCAAGTGGTATTTAACAACACTGGACAGATAAAGACAATTGCGAATATTTGTGAAAACGTTGTCCAAACATGCGTCGTTTCTAGTATTCTCATAATTTGTCCTGACCAAGCCATAAGATCTTCATAAGGAACAGAGTATCTCCGCCTCTCTACATACTTTTTGAAAATGTACATTAAAATCGCCGGTCAGGACAATATTCCTATTCAACATTAGTTAGCTCAATACTATGTCCAATCTCGTCATAAAAGAGTGAAAAATTACCCCGAGCAGACCGATATACGGTTACAATTTGTATGTCATTACAATTAATCCCTGCAACCTCAAAGTCCATCTCATTCGAGTAACCCACAATATCAAACGACAAGGGCCTGAGGGATACTGTTTCTCTAGTATAAATAGCGACTCCACCATGTGAGTGCAGCGATCTACAAAAACCGGAAACTATTTTAAAATCACTTATCTTTACAATGTTAGATTCATTTTCATTTAACCAATGCTCATTTAGGCATATAATACTATATTTTTTATCTTATAAGAAAAGCCTTAAGTTCAAAAATCTTACTATGCAAACTTCGCACATTATAGTGTAGTATAGATGTAACCATCCCTGACCCATCAACATCGTCCCCTCCATTACATAAGTCATTTACAATCGGATCGCTTATAGCTAATTGTAAGACACGTGAACCTCGTGAACGTGCAAATTTAGAAAATTTTGAGTACAATTTCCAGGGGCACTTAGCAAACGTTCATTTGGCGCGCGATCATGTTCGACCACCTTTACCCCAAGTTTACCACAAGTTCGACCATTATTTATTAGTTCCGATCATTGGAACAGCCATGTTTCTCGCTGATATTAATAACTAAACTAGTAATAACTTACGTTTACCAGACAATCTAACATGCAAACCATGCCTAGTTTTATCTATTTTACCAATTAAAGAATTTGTTTCCACATAACTGATATTCATAGATAATAATTATACATTTGCATATTAAAATGGTAAATTTGATTATTTATATTATCCTTCCCGTGTCAATAGGGAATCTACATTTGTAACCTTTGACACACTTTGAAGCTGTGCTTTGAAGTTTACAACCCGCAAAAATTATTACATAATCATTTTTATTATAATTTCGACAAAGACTATCTACATTACCAAGTACATTTGCAAAGCACGCATTTGAAAGCATGGTACAAATGTTATAAGTATCGTTTAGATAAGCGCCCAAGATCTGAGTTGAATCGCGAGCGTGGCTATCACCAATAACTAAAACGTTTGATGAACTTTGTACATTTACACACAAATCTATGGGCTCCTTTGAAATACCCGTTCCTAAAGAACATTAGTCTTGGATATTTACCACTGGATCCCGTTGAACTACGCATTTTTTCTCTGGTACAACATGTCGCTCTTTTCCATTTACATTACCATCTCTATTTTTGTGATTCGACTTTTTAGTTTTTGTCGTTTCACTATATAATTTTCTTTATTTTTGTTGTTCAAATTTGATTCTTTTCAAAGATTTCGTTACACATATAGAAAGCGAGTTTATAACTGATTACAGCTGGTTTATTTTATTGATTAATTTAAAAATTACTCTATTATTTGCACGAACCTTCCTAACTTTTTGATGTTCGTTTGGAACCACGGTGACGATACTATCACTTGAATCATTCAAATTAACATCAATTTCACCATATTTGTTTGACCAAGAGCTTTGCTTATTTAACCCGTTCGTTAATTTCAATTTTAATTCATATTTATTACCAGTATCGTCAACACCAAGTTGTGTTAGTATACTTTTCAGTTCGAAAAGTTTTTTATTTCTGTTAAGGTTTTTATTTATTTCATTCATGTTGTTATTTTTTGTTTATGTATAATAATAAGCGTTTTATTGTTTCTTTAAAATTTACAATTTTCCCTTTATTACATTCTACTATATAACAGTGTGTCCCAGGATAGATGTTACAAGAGGTATAATGACTTAAAAATTTTTGAATTTTATTTTAAGGCTGAGTAACCAAGCAGGCTGATCAAGCCCTGCTTGGTGTGGAGAGAATTTTAAGTATATTTTTATATTTTGAAAATCAACTCGATCTTGATAGTGAAGCGAGAACTATTTTGAGTTCAGGTAAAGTAAGCTTTTTGTTCATGATACGGCAAAATATCATTATGAAAAGTTGTTCAGAATGAGAAATCATGGCACTATGCAAAATTTCAAAAGTTCTACCTACATTGATTAAACCACCATATTTTAGATTAGGTCATAGTAAAAAAAAAAACAATGAAAAATGCCTTGGAAAAAAAATGACTTAAATAGTCGCAAATATTGATAAATAAATTGTATTATCCCTCAGTTTTAGTTCACATTTCAATTACTATAGAATATTTATGTTATTTAAACTAAAATGTGATAGTTCAACCAAAGTAGATAGATCCTTCTGAAATTGTGTATAGGACCATAATTTCTCATTTTGAACAACTTTTCTTAATAAAATTTTTCGAATCATGAACAAAAAGATTACTTTACCTAAACTAAAAATAGTTTTCGATTCATTGTCAAGGCCGACTTTGTTCTTAAAATATGAAAATATTCTTAAAATTCTCTTCACACCAAGCAGGGCTTAATTCCTTCGCCTTAAAATAAATTTCAAAAATTTTAAGTCATTATACTTCTTGTAACATTTATCCTGGGACACACTGTATATATATACACCTCCAGATCCTCTACCCTCCTCCCCCCTTTGCACACCTTCGCCTCCTCGCCCCCATCACCTCCCTCATCCATCTTTTGCTCTCGCCCCTTCTCCCAAAATCTGCTTCCTGTCCATTGCCTCCTCCCTTAGCTCATTTTACACCCTCTCAGCATGTGTTCCAGCGTCTCCCAATCCTCTCCACACAGCCTACACCACCTCTCCACATCGTCCGCCCAATACCTATTCCCCCTCTCCTCATTGCCACAGCGGAATCTGGCCACCAATTTCTTCACTTCATCATCCCCCTCCGTCAACAAATATTTTGGCAGTTCCTCTGTCACTATCTCCCCATACCTTTCATTGTATCTCCCTTCTCGTATCTGTGACCTTCTTTCCTGCCTCTGTATATCCATGCCCCTATCTCTCAGTTCTCTCCACATTTCACCTCTTTCCGCTCTTCTGTTTTCGATCCCAGTTAGTGAATATCCCACTTTTCTATAATATTCTTCCCTGTCTCTTTGCCCATAGATCAGCCTCCTCTCCTTAATTTCTCTCCAGCACTCTCCCAGTATCCTACAATGCGATCTTGCTTCTATCATTTCCTCATACTTCACTGCTCTTCTCCCCGCCTCCACCCTTACTGCATCCACCTTAACCTCCTCCCTCACTACATACCCTGGAGTCTCAACCATGCCTCATTCTGGATCTCATCCTCTTCTGGCGCCCTTCCTCTCTTCAGTCCCCTCAACACTGCCTCCATTTCTTCCAGTGTTATCTCTTCTCCTCCTTGCACCCCTCGCTCTCCCTCTCCCAGTCTTCTCTCTTCCACCTCTCCCAACAATCCCATGAAGTAGGTTCTCCATTCAGTCATTTAGATATCTCTGCTGACTTCCTCACTTCCCTTCTTCATCCTCTTTAAATATCTCCATACCTCATTTCCTCATTTTCCTCTTTCAACTCCTTAATCTTCTCAGCCTCCCTTTCCTTCAGCTCCCTCTTCTTTTTTCTGAATTCTTCTTTGTATTTTCTCCTGACCTCTATATATCTATCTATCTCTACCTCCCCTCTCTGCCACTGTCTCAATTTCCTTATGGCTTCTCTCTTGGCCTCTCTGCATTCCCTATCCCACCATTCGTTTCTTTCCAGTCTAATCCCCTGTCGCCCACTCTCTTTCTTCAACGTCGCCTCCTTAACCACCTTAATTATTTCATTCAATGAATGAACAAAATGAATGGTTTTTGTTTATAGTTCACTATCAAGTGAGACGCATACAACAAAGACGAAAAACTGTCACACAACGAGTTTATGGCTAGGAATACTGTTATGCAATATTCACCGGTATGAAAGTAGACATTCTGTAGGGAGTTTACAATTTCCCTTCCTAGTATTTCACTCGTAAAACCGATCCAAACACGAGAAAACTTATACGCTGTTCTTTCAAGTTATACGAGTAAGAATTGTAAGTGAGAAATATGTTTGAAAATAATGGTTATCCAAGAAAACTCCTTAATAAATTACTATTTCCACTAATTTACAACATAACATCAATAAAAATTTTAACACATCGACACAATTAAAACAATATAAAAAAATTCCATACATCCCCGGATTGACAGAATTACTCCGAATACATTTAAAACGGGATAATTTGACATTCATCAATATTTACCTTTATATTTACCCAAATAAATTAAATATATATTTCTCAACAGAAAAACAGAAAAATTCTTAGAGTCGGAACTTATATACTGCATTACTTGTAAAGATTGTAATAGTAAATACATTGGACAAACTAAACAATGATTAAAAAGTAGAGTTAATAAACACAAAAGTGACACTAAATTAAAAAAAACATCACTCTCAAAGCACGCTGTTGACCATAACTATATTTTAGATTTTGAAAACACAATAATTTTGGACAAGGAATCTAATTATTACAATAGATTATTCCTGAAAATGTTTCATATTAACGCTGAAAATAACATTGTCAATTTCAAGTTCGATACAGAAAATTTCAGCAACATTTATTCATATCTTTTTGACCTAGATAAAAATAAATTTTATTTGTGACGTAACTCGATTGACGAGTACTGATTTGCTTATTTTAATATGGTTGTCACATTTCACGTTTTATTTTTCAACTTGAACTTTTAATTTTTGATGTGTATTGTATTGTGTTTTTAAAATGTTTTAATCTCCAATTATTTTGTTATAAACGTTTTATGTTTTACGTTTCATTATGTTATTTCCCTAAGAAACACAATTTGTAAGTAATAAACCTTTATTGTAAGTTTGTTATTTTTGGATTGGTTGCATTTGTATTTTAGTTATACTCTGAGGAAGATCGAAATAAACTGATCGAAATATTAGTATAAAATAAAGTAGTTTCTTTTTATAAAAAGATCGTCTCCCGAATAATTATTTTATCAATTAAATCAACTACGATCGATTAATTTCTTTTATTTATTGTTAAAAATATAAACAGCATCTTTGATAATTCTTTTCACGAATGGCTTACTAAAAGTATCTAAACAAATTCTCTTAACGCACGAATTATCACAACCCACTTGGGCAACTTTAAAGAAGCTTATAAATAGCCTCAAGGAGCGTTTGGGTAAAGTTAAAAGAAGTAACACCCACGCAGTATGCACGTTCCTTGGTCCTAGGTTTAAAGATATTACATTCGAGCAAAGCGATGCCAAAGAAAAAGTCTGCCAAAACGTATAACGCCAGTTGAGTGGAATGATTTCAACATCAAGCGATGAAAGTATTATTGCTCCTACAGAGGACGGCAATACAAACTCTATGACAGTTTATCCATATGGTTTAAAATATACCAAGTTAAAAGATCGACCAGAAAACGTAATGTAACTAGCGAATTCTAGAGCTTTAATGGAAATTCAAAGGTTATAATTATTTATAATAAAAAGTATAAATGGAAAAAAACTTTTTTTTTAAATATAAAGAAGAGTCAATGCGGCCACGAAATGATGATCCTCTTAAATGGTGGGGTATGCAAAGGTACAAGTATCCTTACTTGACTAGGATTGTTTTCAAAAGCAAGTATTCTATTAAATGATAGGCGAAAGCGCCTGGAAGAGAACAAGCTTGAGAAACTACTGTTTCTTGCTGTTAATCACGAGTACACGAAATAAATATGTTCTCATAAAAAAATATTGTCTTGTTATTTTTAATAATAATGTTAAACATGATAAATATGATGATGCAGATTTTATAGAAAACATGGACCGAAGTTCTAAAATTGTCAGTCTGCGTAATACCTTTGCGTGTTACAAAACTTTATACTTAGAAAAGCAATCTAATCTTGTTCAGGGTAACAATGCACTCATTTCTAACAAAAGACGGTTCTATCATTTTACAAATTTTTTGTTTACATATTTAAATAAAGTATGTTTTGTTAATGTGTTTATATTTTTAATTATATTTGAACCTGCGTACTATTTCTTTTATTACAATCAACAATTTACTAAACTGTGATCTTTCCCAGTTTAAGTAATGTATGCTAAAATCTCTAAACATTAACTTTAGTTGTGATTAGGAAAAGAGAAAAAGATTTCATTTTATAACAAAAAAAAAAACAAACTGTTGCAAATAATTTAATTCTGATACTCCACATAAATAATTATTTACATTAGTATAATGTTCGTACATGTGAGTTTTAATTAATTTATTCTTAAATTTTTTCAATTATTTAACCCCCTTAATCGGCAGTAATTAAAGATCCTAAAAAGTAAATATTATTATTTATAAATCTGCCATGTAAAAAGGGTTAAAGACAAACAAAATTAATAAACGTAATTAACAACGATACTAGTGATGACGGTGGAAGAAACTTGAACGCAAAACATATCGAGTTTTCCAGACAAAAACGTCTTCTTTGACCACAACAATAATTTTTTTACTAACAAGTAAAAACAAAAAAAAAAAAAAAAAAAAACAAGTCAGAAAGAATCCACCGATAATTATTATACAAAATGAAATATAAACGACTGGCGTCTTGAAATGTACAAACGATATATTAACCCAAGTCCGTATACAATTTGTACACATTAGCAAACGAACCTATTGTGTGTACTATCTAGAAAACCACCATCTCCACATCCTGGAGGCGGAGGATCTCCGTTTCCTCCACCTGGCGGTCGTAAAGGTGAATTCACCAACGTTTGTCTCCTCTTCCTTTCAGCCTCCAATTCTACATTATCCCTGAGTAAGACACGTTGAAGGCGCTGTGACAACTGTGATTTCAATATAGGCTCAGGTATAACTGTATCAACCCTACTATAAAATAACATGTAGGGCGTTTCTGGTGGGTGTAATTTACACAATTCTTCCGGTTCGATTTTAAACACCGCGCAGTCATTAAATTTAAACCATTCGGCTTCATCCCTCGCGTAAGTATAGTAATGTCCTGAATCTACGCTCGACCCGCAATGAATAACGGCTCCGTAAAGCGTATATCGCACATTCTCTAACACAATAAACGCATCCAAATCGACCCTTAACAAGAGTTTAGTCCGTTGCTGTGAAGCCGGGTCGTAACGGAAGTGTTTCAGGGTGAGTATCAATTGGGCAGGGAACTGCACGATCTTACTGATTCGTTCACCGTCAGTAAGACGCTCACAGTTATCACAGTGGTACTGATTGTCCCCGCAAAGCTGTTCCGGTTGCAGGTAGAAGTCGACGAGGGTTTGTACGGAGTGATTCGAACAATTCGTCGGTATCGAAAGTTGAAGCTCGCGGAAGGAATCTGCTCGCTCACTGTGCGAACCACAAACAACGCAATGAGAATGTGTTACAGCTCGTCCACCAAACGAACGTTGAACTACTGTGTTTTCTGATGGTTGGAAATCTGATGAACCTATGCAAAAAAATAATGATAAATAAGTTAATAAAATTATTGACGTTTAAGATCTTAATAACATATGAATTCAGACAATTTAAATTTTCTAAATAATAGCAACACTTTAGAGTATTTTAAAAGAAGTAAAACCACCTTTAAATACTATCCATAAATTTTCAACTTTAATTGCATATTATTTCAGCTAGTTTTATCCAAGCGTGATATTAACATGGGAAGATAGTTTTCTGAATAAAATCCTCATAGTGCCATGAATTTTTAAAGAATAATTACAAAGTTACAATTGAATCGATTATGATTGATGTAAACTAACAAACTCTAAAGTTGCAACTATAGATATTAAGTAATAATCTTTTAAATTAAATCGTTTTAATGGTATAAAATAAGAATAAAAAAATATTACTAAAAATGATTTGCTAAAGTTCTAATCCCAAAGCAAGAACTTTTCTTTTCTTTGCCAAATAAAGAATCGTATTTTTAAAATTGATTTTTGATGATGATGAATTAGAGTAAATTATTATCACTTTTTGACTTGAGTATATTAACTGTATCAATATAATATTAAATATGACGCTTCAGTCGCGAACGTCCTCAGCTTAACACCATACAATCAAACCTTTACATTCGAGGTCACTTGCGGTCGAGGCTTTACAATTTGAGTTGCTTGAGGCACTACAGATGCTTTCTACGTAATGCCTCGGTCGTAAGTGGTCTAAGCTTTACTAAAAAAGAGTATGTTAAAACGTGTAATGTCACCCGTAAGTGACCTCAGCTTAAATAAATCGCAATATCACACGCTTATTGAACTCTATATTGACTTAGAATCAACTGTAGCACCTCGGCCGCAAGCACTAGTAGACGAGGCATAACAATATCTATAGCAGTGAGGTAATCAGTCGCATCCACAATTTTACCCAATATTATTTTCAAACTACATACATTTGGTTTGTTATTCTGACAAAAAATCGTAACTTTATGTTTCTTGATTACTTGTTATTGTATTTATGAAAAAGCAGTATCTCAATTCCAAATTAAATAGCTATAAAGGTTGTTTTGCTCATTTCTAAAAAGTTCCTATTATGGAGATACGATTGTTTACCTCTCCGCTATAGACCGATGAACCGAGCGGATCCGAGGAATTATATGTGTTGTCTAAAATAAAATTAATATGGTATTAACTGTGATAATTGTAATAATGTTATTAACTTTAACGTAACATATATGTTAATATTAATATAACATATCTTGTATATCAGTTACAATATTGATGAACCAAATGAAAATACTGGGAAGCCCCCTAAAAACCTGTGCAATGTCTAAAAGCCATTTTCGGAATCCATTTTTAAATATAACTGAATCAAGGTTCACATTTACAATCTTAATCTCAAATTTAGTGTACTTATGTTGTAGAAGAAAACTTCTTTTCCCCTTGATTTCTACCACTTCTTTAATAGCAGCTAAAAAAATTGATTCATTTCGAAACATTATGTTCATCTCAATAAAACACGAAAAATAAAAAAAAAATAGTATTCTTTGAGAGAAACGTTTTAGCTACCAGTTCGAATTAATCGCCATCTTCAGTCGTGGTAAAAAACAAATCAAAGAAATTAATAGTGATCCTAATAGATATGTGCATACCAAGGTTAGAATCGCATATCTGTAGGTTTTATTATTAACACAAACATTTTATTGTAACATTAAGAATAAATTATCATTCAAGATCAGTATAAAAGATTAATGATTATTCAATAAAATTATACAGAATGTTTCACGCAAGTTCTCCTTGGATTTTTCATCAAATTGCTTACTCCTCAGATATCCCCAAATAGAACGTCATTAGTGATTGTTATGTATGCAACATGGATTGCATGTGCATGTGCTTCGGATAATATAAGCATTAGTATTAGACAACTAGATGAACGTGTGTAATAGTTGTAACAGTAATTGATAATAAACAGTTAACTAAAATGGTGTCTTAATTATTATAAGTAGAGACAAAACATGGCGCTGCGAACAATGAACAAATTCTATAAGTGAGGTTAAAGGTAATATTCAAGAAAGAGGGCAAATATACTATAAGTGAGGTTATAAAAAAGCAAAACGGCTGTTCATCAAGGAGAACAGGTGCAAAGTTGGAATATACAAGCACGAGTGCCTCCACCGCTCAGTTTCGAAGGCAATGTGGCAGAAAATTTTAAGAAATTTAAACTAATGTTTGACATTTATATGTTGGCAACTGGAGGTCAGATGTATCCGAGTGAAAGAAAAGTTGCAGTTTTGCTAAATATTATTCAAGAAGAAGGACTAGAAATCTTTAATAATTTCGAGATCAATACAGAAGAGAAAAAAGATTATGAAAAGGTAATCAAAGAGTTCGAAAATTACACTAATCCTAAAAAAAGTGTATTGTATGAAAGATTCCGCTTTTATAATAGAAGCAAAGAGCAAGGAGATACGTATGAGCATTTTATACAGGAGTTAAAAACTCTTATTAAAACATGTGAATTTCAAAACTCAGAGGAGATGCTAAGAGACCAAATAGTGTTCGGATGCAATGATAAGGTACTACAAGAAAAGTTACTGAACTTAAAAGATATAAAACTTAGTGAAGTCATAAATACATGTAGAAATTTTGAAATAACGAAAACCCATGTAAAGGAAATACAGCGAGAACATACTGAAGTTTGTGAACTAAGAAAAGGGTCCATAGGGAGCAGTAAAAGAATAAGCGAAGAGGACAAAAATCTGGAAAAACAGCAACAATATGATTGTAGAAAGTGTGGAAGAAAACATGGGCCAAGAAACTGTCCAGCATATGGTAGGCAGTATAAAATTCGTAAAAAATACAATCATTATGCAGTTGGATGTAAACACAATGAAAGGAAGAAGGTAAGAGAAGTAAAAGAAGATAACAGATCGAGTGAAGAAGAAGAAGAGTGTTTGCAATTATCTTCAATCAAGGTAAAAAGAAATTTCCCTAGAAAAGCTCAGGATGAGAACAAAATAAAATCTGTAAGTGAAATTAGTAAAGTCAGTGAGTGGAAAGAAACAATTGAAGTCAGTGGTAGCTCAATTAGTTTTAAGTTAGATACAGGGGCAGAGGTCAATGTATTGCCTAAGCAAATTTATGATAAGATTAATTCTATAGAGAATGTAGATTTTAAAACTAGTAAACTAGTATTAGAAGCATATGGAGGTAAAAAAATAAAGCCACTAGGCATTGTAGTATTACCTTGTAAGTCTAAAAATATTACAAAATTTCTTGAGTTTGTTATTACTGATATAAAAGGAACTCCATTGTTGGGGTTGAAATCTTGTTTAGAGCTAGGCTTAGTAAAACGAGTGAATACCTTAAAGTATAATCAGGTTGATGATTTTGTTAATGGGAATTTAGATATTTTTACTGGTGTGGGTAAATTCAAAAATAAATTGAAAATAGAACTTAAAGAAGGAGCGATTCCTGTTGTAAGGCCACCTAGAAGGGTTCCAATAACTATCAGAAATAGGTTAAAGAAAAAACTTAGTGAATTAGAAAGTCAGGGGATAATAGAAAAAACGGAGCCTTCTGGTTGGGACTTAAATAAGGTGATTAAACGCAAGCACTGTCTTATACATACTATGGATGAAATTAGTAACAAATTAAAAAACAAACAGTACTTTACCGTACTTGACCTTAAAGATGGATTTTATCATGTGGAATTAGAGGATGAGTCGAGTGACTTGTGTTCATTTAGTACGCCGTTTGGGCATTACAAATTTAAAAGGCTACCGTTTGCTCTGAATTTGGCACCGGAGTACTTTCAAAATATAAATCAAAATATATTTAGTGATATTGAGGGAGTCATTGTCTACTTTGATGACTTACTAATAGCTGCTGACAGTTCAGAGACTCATGATAAAATTCTGGGCGAAGTAATAAAAAGGGCCAGGGACAATAATGTAAAGTTTAACAAGAACAAGGTTCAGTTTAGGGTTAACGAAGTTAAATACTTGGGTTTGTTGTTCTCAAATAAGGGAATTTCGATTGACGAAGAGCGTGGAAGGGCAACTAAATTAATAGAGGCGCCCAAGAATAAAAAAGACCTCCAAAGAATTCTGGGTATGTTGAATTTCTTTAGAGGTTTTGTCCCAAATTTTGCACAAGCCACAGCTCAGCTTCGGAAATTACTGAAAAATGACATTGAATTTGTTTGGACTGGAGGTCATGAAAATTGTTTGAATAATGTAAAAAATTTGCTGTGACGCTCCGGTTATGAGAAATTTTGATGAAACACTTGAAATTACAATTCACTCTGATGCGAGTAAGGACGGGTTGGGGTGTTGCTTGCTTCAGCAGGGTAAACCAGTCAGTTTTGCATCGAGATCACTAACTGAGTCAGAAAAGAATTACGCACAGATTGAAAAGGAGTTCCTTGCGATTGCTTTTGCATTTAAAAAATTTCATCTTTTTGTTTATGGTAGAACTGTAACTGTGTTAACAGGTCACAAGCCGCTGGTAGCAATAATAACTAAAAGTATTTTAAGTGTTGCATTACCCAGACTACAACGTCTAAAAATCAAACTTCTTAAATATGATATTAAAGTACAATATTTACCGGGAAAATTTATGTTTGTGGCGGATACTCTGTCGAGAGCCTTTTTGAAAGATAGTGTAGATGATGATCCAGACATGTTAGAAGTTATTCATACTATTAGTGTAAAGAATTACATAAATATGACAGAGGAGAAAAAACAAATGTTTAGGAATGAAACAAATGCTGATCAAATTCTTGCGACAGTAAAAAAGTATTACATGGATGGTTCGCCTATGAAAAAATTTCAGGGTCATATGAATACATTCTTTAATATCAGACGCGAATTGCATTTAGTTGAGAACTTGCTATTTTATAAGGAGAGGGTAGTTGTGCCTACTAGATTACGCAATGATATCTTAAATGTGCTACATGAAGATCACTGTTTCATAGTCAAGATGAAATCTATGTCAAAAAGTTCAGTATACT